GCTCTTCCTTTTCAAGAGTGGAGGGCGAGGTTTGAGGCAGGGGGTCAGGACACGGGCTCGCCCCGCGTGCCTCTGGCTCCTTATCCTCGCACTCTTCTTGGTCCGTGAGGCTGAGCGCGCTGTCGCCGTTGTTATTGCAACTGGCGTGTTTGCCGTGCTCACCGGCTTGCTCCGTTCTCTTTCTGCATTTCCTTTGCACTTTAGCAGCGTTCCTGTAGGAAATGGACCCCTTGTAGCTAACTTTCAGCACAGTTTGCTCTTGGATCAGTTTTTCTAGTTCAGCCCTGGTTTTGTCCGGGTCTGACCCGTGTCTTCTTCGGACCATTCGGCAGATTCTTTCCAGGTCCGGTCGGGCTTTTCTCGAGCGCAGGGAATCGATGGTTTCCAGGATCCATTCTCGGTATTTTGGCTCCGACATGTTGCAGCACTGGTTCCGTTGGCTTCGGCCGAGCGCCTCTCTCTCGTCTCCGAAGTGATCCGCTCCGAGCCCGGCTGGGAATGAAGCGGAAGCCTCGCTCTACGCCTGCGTTTACCCACTATGTGCGCTTAAGGTGGACTACTTTCCGAAGAGAACCATCCGCTGCGCTCCGCGCTTATTTAAGGTGGTATTGCGGAGTTGCACGTTTTGCGCACCTCGTCTACGGGCTTTTGTTCACGCTCGCGCTGCAGTCCGTTACTTCTAACGCAACAGATTGTGCAGATGCTGTCTCGATGCTAAATTAAATAACAGTTTAAAACGCATCTGTGTTTAATGGTTGGATGACAGACGATACTAAACTGGATGAGTCTAGTTTTATTTGATAACTCCGCACCTCACTGCCAGCTGTAGATGCATCAAAACAAAAACATTATGAAAAATATACTAGTTACATTACCTACAAGTGGTAAAGGAAAGATAAAAACTGTTTCAAAGTGCCTCAATTACAAATCCCACTATAGGAACAAAGAGATATGGTTTGAAGAATTATATTCCAGCTATTTCCAAAATTCATACAGGTATGCATTTGGAGAAAGCTTACCTTCCACCAACAACATCAGTTACCAGCCAGTTATTTAATGATTTTGCTGCACTGTCGTGTAATGGTTAAGAAACACAAAGCTATCTTACACGATCATAATACAAACACTCTCATGGCTTACTCAACTTGTTTAGGAGGTTCTGGAGCAGTGGGTGTGAAGTAGTCTTCATTAAAGGTGATCGATCCCACAGTGCTCATACAGTTAGACAGCGTGCCAAATAGGACAGAAGCTTAAGACCTCAGCACAATGTTAGGTGTTTCCACTATTACACATATAAAGGGATGTAGAACCTGTTTGGTATTTATAGTAATACTTTATTGGAATGATTCTTGTGGTGCAAAATATCACAATTAACTTGAACCATGTCCTCAGGAGTAAGCACTGGTATCCACTGAGTTCACCTCCAGTTTAGGAGATATTTGTAGCCTAGAGAGTTGCGTGTAAGAAATTCTCACCCAAAAAGGATCCAGATGCACTGCACCCATTCAGAGAGAAGACTTTGCCTATTTAACAACGCAGAAATGGAAGAATAAAGGGGGAAGAAATGGCGAAAACGGAGAGAGCCATGCGGCGGCTCGCCGCGTCAATCGCGCACAAAGTGTGTGCAATTTCGTCAGGCTTTAGAAATGTATAACCCAATGAGAACCGTAACAATTATAATATTAACAATACTAAACAAACGAAACAAAAACATTCATCCCCTCCTCCGCACGAAGGCGGTGGGCCCCGTCATCGCAGCCTACGATCTGTCAGCTATAATCAATGAAACAACTGACGAGTCAAAATATTGACACTTATAGGATTTCATGGCACATTTCACAGGTGAAAGTTCAAAGTTCATCAGTGAATTTTTACAGAGCGCGGTGGACCTACAGCTGAAAGAAGAAGAAAAAAGTGGTGCTCATGAAATCATGGCTTCTTTTCTTTGCCATTTTCACTTTGTCATCCCTTCAGTGCATTTTTAAGAATAAAGGAACACATGACCATATACAGGACCAAAAATATTTCGGTTATTACACAGGAATACAATTTTTTTTTTTTTGCATTCTTTTTTTTTTTCTTTTTCTTTTTTTCTGTACGGTTGTTATGGTGACCTAGTGGAGAATTTGCACTTTAACTGCTCCAGATTAGAGATAATCTCTGAATAGACGATAACTAACCCCGTCTGTCTTTGTGTGGCAACATCAATCCCAGTCCACAGGCCAACTATTACACCCAATCAAATCCATCATGATTAATATCACATGAACAGAGATTTAAAAAAGAGAGAAAATTACAAACATGATTAAAATAGAGGAGATGATAAAGGCCTCACTGTTTATCCCTGGAGGTCTTCTCTGCTCTCTTCCGCTGGTTTCTCTGCTGTTTAACAGGAGGAAGGATCGGTTTTAAGATTCATGCACTTTTTCTCCTTCTCTCTCTTTCTCTCCACCTATATTCCTCTCTCTCTCTCTCTCTGATTTCTATCACTTATTCCCCTAGAACTCGGCAAATTCTTTCGCACACTTCTCCGTGAACGACACACGGATCTCTTCTTCCTCATAGTCGTCGAAGTTGCTGGTGTCCCCGGGACCTCTGCATTTAGGCACAAACGGGGCCTCCACCTGAGAAAATGCAAAGAAGAAGAGATAACATCAATATATTTTTTTATTATTACTTAATATGTTTTTTTTTCACATGACAGTTTACATCCGAGTATGAAATGCTACCTTTTCCATTTTTAAGAACTCACCAATATCAATATTTTATTTCTTCATTTGCATTTTTAAAATATGACAATGATCATATCAGTCCCCTTGTGTGTCATGCAGATCTGTGTTTAAATTACAGCACAATTGCACTGAATTTGACATGTTTTTGCTCATCTTTGTCATAATTTGTGATCGATTAACCTTCAACATCGTCAAATATTTTCCTAATTGCCTTATATAAAGTATTACATGATGCAAAACGTATTTTAAAAATGCATGCCGATGTATGTGAAGTAGATCACAAATGTTGGTATTTGCTTTTAAAATTTAGGAAGGAAGTTCAAATTATGTTATTGATCATGCTAATTAATTAGATATTAATACTAATTCAGAAATTTAAGAGTCCAAAATTCTTCATATTAATTTTACACGGTAACTCAATGTTATAGATAATAGATTATGTTAATGATATTAAATTGTATTATGAGGTCATAATGAATATGATACGTTTCTGTTGATCCAATACAACATTTGTCATAATTTAGGCTTGATTTACCCTTGTGATAAAATATTTTCCATTGATTATTGAAGAAAAAGGAGTGAAAATATGTGTTTAGAATAGATACTGATGTATATTAATGTAAAGTAGTTCACAAATGTTGATATTTGCTTTAAACCGTACTCTTATTCTTATTGATACTCAGACAATTATTATTTTTAAGTATGACACTAATAATACTTTTGAGGGGAAAGTTATTTTAGCATTACAATATTGCGTTGCTCCATTAAAAAGTAACAATGCATTACTTAGTTACTTTTTTTTTTGGAAAGAAATGCATTACGTTACTTTGGCGTTACTTAGTGCCACCTGGGCTAGGCCTGCTTGTTTATTTTTAATAACACAACTGTAAATAATAAAGCAACTGTAAAGGCCCTTTCACACCAAAAGTGAAATGAACAAGCCTCAGGCTGTTCAACACTGTCGGTCAATAAATGGGAAAACAAAGTAACTTCATTGGACAGCAACAGATAACGCAATTGAATAAAGATGGTCTCCTAGACAAAGCCTCAGATGTTCTGCAGGCATCTCGGCTTTGTTGTCTTCTTGCAATAAAGTTGAATTTAGCATTATTTTGCAAGACTGAAGACTTTTCTCCACAACATAACTCAGATACTTTCTTGTTAATTTAGTACTTTTAGTACTTTAATAGTTACTTGAAAAAAAGTAATCTGACTACATAACTTGCGCTACTTGTACTTGTGTGCTACTTGTAACCCCCAGCACTGCTAGTGATGATACTAAATGACATCCAGTATAATATGAGATACAAGCCTTACTGATTGAGCTTTGAGTGTGAAAGCACTGAATGCATCAGAAGGGACTGTGTGCGTTTCTCACCCTCCGCTGGTAAATGGCTATCCAGTCAGTAGTTGAGAACCACTTGTGTCCTTTGATGTCGTTAACTCCGTTTTTAAGGTTGCCGTAGCGTTTGGTGAGATCCACCTGCAGCAGGTTTCTCAACAGGTCCTTCAGGTCGGAGCTGAAGTGTGACGGGAACCGTACCTGTGAAAAGACTGTGCTTAAAACGGGTTTAAGCCAAGCTAAATTAAACTCACGTAAACTGCGGTGGGCTGAAGACAAGAATCTCCGATGTCACAGAGACATTTGTGTCATTTTCAGTCTAAAGGCTAGAGTTTTGTCATTTCCTGGCAAAATTACCTTTCCTGAGACAATCTTTTCGTAGATCTGAATGGGTTGATCGGCAAAAAACGGAGGATAACCGGCAGCCATCTCGTACATCAGCACACCCAGAGCCCACCAGTCCACAGCCTTATTATAACCCTACGAGAGAAAACACATCAGGATGAGTTGAAGAGAATATTAAGCCCTCACAAACGTGCATGTTTCATGAATGGAGCAAATTGAGCTACAACTGCATATATTTATGTCAAGAAACAAGATTTACATTAATAGGCGAAAGATCAGAAAAGGTTTAGTGTGATACAGATAAAATGAATAACAAGCAATTTTTATACTCTACCGGTCAAGACTTTGAAATATTTTTTAATGATTTCTTCAGCTTCACTGAGGTTGTATTTATTTGATCAAGAATACAGTGTAAAACAGTAATATTTCTACAGTTTAAAACAGCTGTTTTCTATGTGAATATATTGTAAAATGTAATTTATTCATGTGATCAAAGCTGAATTTTCAGCATCATTACTCCAGTCTTCAGTGTCACATGATCCTTCAGAAATCATTCTAATATGCTGATTTGCTGCTCAAGAAACATTTCTGATTATTATCAGTGCTGAAAACAGTTGTGCTGCTTTAGTTGTTTTTTTATTTTACTCAATTGGCACAGAATTTGTTCATATTTGACTTTCTTTTTTTTTTTTTTGTGAAAATCGTGAAACACCACCAATCAAAAGTTTGGTACAAGTAAAAAGAAGACAGAAATTAATTCTTTTAATTAACAAGAATGCATTAGATTGATCAAAAGTGACAGTAAAGACATTTATAATGTTACATAAAAACTATGAATGTCATGTCATGTGACACTGAAGACTGGAGTAATGATGCTGAAAATTCAGCTTTGATCACAGGAATAAATTATATTTGAACATATATTCAAATAGAGAACCGTTATTTTAGATTGTAAAAATATTTCACAATATTACTGTTTTTCTTGTATTTCTAATCAAATAAATGTAGAATTGATGAGCAGAATAGACTTCTTCCAAAAACATGAAAAAAAAAGCATAATTATTT